GTCGGCACATGACCATCCGTTTCCTAGTGGTTGAAGAGCTCACAGCTTACAACCTCATCTTTGGCCGACCCACTCTGAACGAGTGTAAGGCCATCATCATTCCTGCTCTTATGCTGCTCAAGTATGAGAAGGATGATGGAACAGTCGGTTCCCTCAATGAGGACCAGAAGACGGCTCGAGAGTGTTATCTCTCGGACATCAAGCCCGCGGCCGCAGCAGCCGGCAAGGGCAAACAGACAATCGACCTTGATGATGTCAAGGAAGAACAGTCGGCCCCACCAGCCGGTAAGAAAAGAAAGACTGATCAGCTGGTGGTAATCAAAAAAGAAAAACAATAGCAATCAATGATCGGGGAACGGTCAGATGATCTTCGTCCCCAGCCTGCTAGCGAACACAATGATATCCCTCTGGACGAGCAGACGGTTAAGGTGGGGACGGTTGCATTTGCTAAGCTGGGTGAGAGCCTGCACCAGCTGTTGAGAGAATTCAAAGACATCTATGCCTTTGAAGTGGAAAAGATGCCAGGCATCAGCCCGGATCTCGGTGTCCAAAAACACGCCGTGGATCCCAAAAAGAAGCCCATTCAGCAAAAGAAAAGAAACCACGGTGAGGAAAGAAGTCAGGCGACAGCCGCCGAAGTTAAAAAGCTACTGGACGCCAAGTTCATTCGACCATGTAATTTCCCTGAGTGGGTAGCTAACGTTGTGTTAGCAAAGAATCCGAATGAAATTTGGCGCATGTGTGTTGACTACACAGACCTCAACAAGGCATGTCCAAAGGATAGCTATCCACTGCCTAAGATCGACAATCTGGTCGATTCAACCAGCCGGGCATGCCCTGATGAGTTTTATGGACGCCTATTCAGGTTTCCACAAGATCCCCCTGTCGAAAAAAGATCAAGAAAAGACGGCATTCGTCACTGATCAGGGGTTGTTCTGTTATACGGTGATACCGTTTGGTTTGAAGAATGCGCCAGCTACTTTCCAACAAATGATTAATACAGTCTTCATTAATCAAATCGGAAGGAATGTAGAGGCGTACATTGACGACATGATAGTCAAATCCAAACAACAGGCGGATCATCTTGCTGATCTCGGAGAAACATTCGCCACACTCAGGCAGCACAAAGTCATGCTGAACCCAAAAAAGTGTGTCTTTGGTGTTGAGTTTTGGAAGTTTCTCGGATTTTTGATTGACCAAAGGGGAATAGAGGCCAACCCTGAAAAAATACAGGCAATAATCGACATGCAGTTGCCCCGTACTGTGAAGGAAGTGCAAAAGTTAACAGGTTGTCTGGCGGCCTTGGGGAGATTCCTCAGTCGGTCAGGTGACAAGTGTCTCTACTTCTTCCAGGCAATAAAAAAGAAGACCAACTTTGAATGGGGGGATGATGCAGAGGCGACCTTTCAAAAGCTAAAAACTCATCTGCACTCTTTGCCGAGGCTTGTTAGCCCTTTGCCCAAAGAGAAGCTCTTCATGTATTTGGCCATCTCCGATCTTGCCCTCAGTGCCGTTCTCTTAGCTGAAAGAGATGACATCCATCTCCCGGTGTATTTCATTAGCCATGTTCTTAGGAACGCAGAGCTTCGGTACCCCATGGTTGAAAAATTTGGCCTTGCCCTTTACATGGCCATCAAGAAGCTAAAACCTTACTTCTTGGCGCATGCGGTAATGGTCTATACTGACCAACCGATCAAGCGGTCACTCACAACCTTGGAGTCTTCTGGACGAATGCTTAAATGGGCGATTGAAATGCTAGGATTGGAAGTCACTTACGAACCAAGGAAGGCAATAAAGGGGCAATCATTCGCCGACTTTATTGTTGAAATGACAAGGCCGGTTTCACCGGACAATACTAGCCAGGTTTGGTAAGTGTATGTGGATGGGAGCTCCACTACGAATGGCTGTGGTACAGGGATTATCTGTCAATCTCCTGAGGGAGATAAGTATCAATATGCGTTACGGTTCAAGTTCCAGGTCTCTAACAATGAGGTCGAATATGAAGCCCTGCTAGCCGGCATTTGGTATTACAAGGCGGCAGGGGCAAAGAAAATTGACGCCTGCTCTGATTCCCAACTGGTTGTACTCCAAGTCAATGGAACGTACAAGGCCACTCATCCGGCCATGATAAAATATTTGCAGGCGGTCAAAAATGAAATCGGGACACTTGAGGAGTTTCATCTATGTCAAGTGCCCAGGTCTTCAAACAATCAGGCGGATGCTCTGTCAAAACTTGCATCATCCGCCTCCTGTGAAACGCCCCGGTCAGTTTTCTGGGAGGTCATGGAAAAGAGAAGTATATCTAATGAAGACCCCATTGGAATTATTGACCGAAGCTCAACCTAGATGGACAGCATCCGGGCCTACCTTGCAGACGGCACGCTCCCTGATTCACCCCAGAAGGCGGCTGTTCTGAAAAAGAAAGCGGCAAACTTCGATCTGAGACAAGGAGAACTCTTCAAGACTGGTTTTTTGAAACCTCTGTTGAAGTGTGTTACCCCATAGAAGGGTAAAGAAGTTCTCAAAGATTTGCATGCGGGTTTCTGCGCCTCCCATATAGCCGGCAGGTCCTTAGCTGCCAAGGCCAGGCGGCTCTATTTCTGGCCGACTCTGGAGTCGGATGCAATGGAAATGGTAAAAAAAATGTGACAAGTGCCAAAAGTTTGGCAAGCTTATCCATCGTCCGGCCACATACCTGATGGCCATCCACAACCCAATACCCTTTGCTAAATGGGGCATGGACATACTTGGGCCTTACACAACCGCCCCAGGCGGCAAGCACTATATATTGGTAGTTGTGGATTACTTTACCAAGTGGGTAGAGGTGGAGGCGGTTAAAAACATCAAGACTAAAGATGTCATTTCCTTCATATGGAGGAATATTATCACTCGTTTCGAGGTGCCTATGTCTATGGTTTTTTACAACGGTCCTCAGTTTGAGACGCCTCAGCTCAAGACTTGGTTGGGAGACCAGGAGGTCTCAATTTTCTTTGCATCAGTCGACCGTCCCCAAGTAAACGGCCAGGTCGAAGCCTTCAACAAGTTAATCTCAGACGGGATCAAAAAGAAAATAGAGAGAGCTGGTGGCCTTAGGGCGGATGAATTACCACACGTCCTTTGGGCCATCAGAACAACCGCCAAAGGGGCAATTAGAGAAACCCCATTCCTCATGGTGTATGGTGCAGAAGCTGTCCTGCTCATCGAACACTATGAGCCGACTCTTCGAATCATGTTGTATGATGAAGAGGCAAACTGGGAGGCCATGCGGCTAGCATTGGACTCACTTCCAGAGCACAGGGGCAATGCTGCCTTGCGCCATGAGATTTACCGTCTGAGAATGACTCGGGCTTACAACAAAAGAGTACACAAGCGTCCTCTCAAAGTGGGGGACTTTGTGTTACGGAAAATGGAGGCAGTCGGTAGGGCGAATGAGCAGGGAAAGCTAACCCCAAATTGGGAAGGCCCCTACCAAATCTATGATGAAGTAAGAGACGGCACCTTCCGACTGGAAGAACCAGACGGTATGCGGCTTCCTAGAACTTGGAATGTAGACAACTTAAAAAAGTACTACTTCTAAGAATTTTTGTAAATGTTTCAAAGCTTTGATTAATGAGAATATGTCTTCATTACCCAAACTTGTCTTTTTGCTAATTTTTGCTAGCATCGCCTGTATAATGTGCAGACGACCACTCTATTTGTAAAGCGTCTGTCCCAACAACAGACGCCCCATTCCGTCTGAAGGAGCCTACTGCACCAAAGAAGTCGACCCTACTAACTAATTTATTTTTAAGTTAAGTCCAACACTTAACGGCTATTTACCATTTTTAAAGAGGCCAATGGCCGGATATTAATAAAACGATAGAGGCCGACGTCCACAATCTGCTCCAACATGAGTATGACCGTATGCTCCAACATGAGTCAGATAACCGACGACGTCCATTCGGGCGAATTTGTCGAGGAGAAGAATCTCCCATTTGGGTGGCACATTGCTCTACTAATACATCAAACGGCCCTACCGAATGCTAAGGAAGCATCTGTAGTTGTTTGAATAAATCGAAAGTGAAATCTAAAAGGCCGAGAATTTTTCAAATTGTTCTATTAAAATTGGAGAGTGGTCACTGTTTCATGACTAGAGGCTATCGAGGCATAAGGTCGGATGCGCCTGTTGTTGCTCTTGGGAAAGACAGGCGGAAGATTCTTTTCCAGTCAAAAAGCTATGTAAAAACTTAGCATTCTTCGTACACGAGGCTTATAGCCGGATGCGCCTGTTTCTGCTGAAAGGCAGGACAGGGGGCCTTTCTCTTATTAAGAAAGCGGGCTAAAAAACTTAGCAGGCTATTTACACAAAAGAGAGGCCCAAGGCCAGATGCGCTTGTGCTTTGCTCTGGGGAAAACCAGGCGGAATATTTTTTCTTAACAAATAAACTAAGTTAAAACTTAGCATCTTATTTTAATGAGGCCTATGGCCGGATGAAATCAAAGGACCAACTACTCTGCATGGCCGTCTATCGCTTGGTTTGGGGCAATCACCATAGTGATTGATTGACTTAGAAACCATGCATACTCTTCTAAGTATCAATAATTTCTAAGTCAATCAATCCAATCAACCGAAACCAATCGACATCCGCCCAGGGTCAAGAACATTCGCATACTATACAAGCTAAAATACTTAGTTAAAATTCTATGCATAAAATTTGGAAGCTTTGTAAATTTTTAAAAGCATAAACACCAATATAAATAAAACCGGTCAATTGATCGGATGCTTCATAAAAATTAACAGCCGTCAAAATTGACAACTGTAAAGAGTTAACTGGCTAATCCAGAAGAATTGTTGAATTACCCGACCCCTTGGTCGGTAAAGATACATTTTTACACGGCACACAGGCCGGAAGATCAAATACATGGCCATTCGGCCGCAGAAGAAAATTATAAAAAGCTTAAGTAACAGGGGAGAAGTTCTCAACGTTGGCAGCCGCATCATCCATATTTTCACTCGCCGGCTACTCAGCATTTTCACCATCCTCCTCGTCCCCCTTCTCCTCCCCAGAAGAGCCCGATGAGGAGTCGGACTCTTCACCCTCAGCAGCAGCCTTGGTCGCCTCCTCTTGGGCTTGTCGAAGAAGGTCAGCATTGAAATCCTTGTTGGCTTGGTCAAATTTGGATTTCCAAGTGCTATAGTCAGCACCCGGCTGTACCGCCTCCCATGCCGTCCGCATGATGGCCTCATAATCTTCAATCATTTTTTTGACAAGGGCCTCCTTCTCCTCATCAGCTCGGGACTCAAACTTGGCCTTCAGCTGCTTCTCCTGGTTCGCCAGGCGCATCTCTAGGCGGCCAACCCGCTCCTTGGCCCTCTTGGCTTCTTTCTTGGCCTCTTGCAGAGGCTCAAGCTTTTCCTTAAGACCTTTAATTTCGGCCTTAAGATCATTAATTTTGGAGCGAGCCGAATCAAGGTCCTTCTTTACCTGCAGGTTGGCATCCGCTTGGGAATACATCATATCAAGGGTCAGTAGCTCATTTTGATCAATTTCAAATTGAGCTCAGTCTAAGGCGGACTCGGCCCGAGCTTTAGCAGCTGTTACCTCTTTGGAATTTTCCTGAAGAGGCTTCCTTAGCCCCCTAATGCACATCATAGCCTGGATATGAGTAAAGAGTCGAATGGTTAAGACCAGTCGGATATATACTTAACAATAAGTAAATCAAGATAATTCTCTACCTCACGGACGCCTTGTCCTCTGGATCAAGTTCCCTCAGCATCCCTTGGCCATCTGGACGACGGTCGACCTTTGCACAGGAGCTGCAAGATTAAAATTAGTCAAGAAAATTCTAAGAAACTATCTACATGATGGTATCCAATACAGAGGCGGTTTATACCATCCGACTGAACCTCCTCCTCCTTCCCATGGCGCCTCTTCTCTCCTGCTGAGCCGACAAGCAGTAGTGGGTTTCTTAAAGCAACCCTTCAATGCCTGATTGGCATCCAGTTTGCTGACCTCCCTGTCAGCTTCAAGAGTAGAGTCGTCTCCTCTTTTAGGCTTGTGAGCAATGTGCTTTCGGTTCTTGCCGGATGCACTCACATCACCCGTCCTAGTCTTTTGGATTTTGGATTGGGATTGCTTAGAGGGAGAAGGTCTGGTGGAGCCACTCTGCATTAGAAAAAGGAAAAGGCGGCAGAAAACAGGCGGGCAAAAATTGACCTTGCTCAAAAATATTAAGTATTATAAACAACTACCTTGGGGGTCCCAACTGTTTTCTGCTCGTCACCCGCTCGATTAAGGATGTTCGAGTGATATTTTGCAGCAGAGACAACAACCAGCTTCCTCGTTGCTGAGATCTTTTCCATGGCTTTGTCTGCACCAAAAGTAGGCAAGGTCGGATGTCATAAAAGTCCGCTTGCTTTGCGGAACATGGTGATAGTAGAGAGCGCGTTCCAGGCACCTAAAAGCACTCGGCTCGGCCCATCCTTCTCCGCTCTCCACTAACAAGGACTCCCTTGTAGTGCCTATCTTTGCTCTGGCCTCCTCTAAAGAAATGGAGGCATTTTCAGAGGATGACGAGGCCAAATCGTCATCAGAGCTCTCCCTAGAGCTGGGGGACTGCCGACTGGGGCCAGCAGGGTCCTCCCTAGGCTCTCTTTCGAAGCCTGTTCTGAAGGCTCGGGCTTGTATTGATTGTCGGCTTCCCACAGTATGGTATTGCTGGGGGTGCCGCTCGAAGAAGGGGGAGAATAATAAGTTGGAGTTTGGGGAAGGTCAGATGAAGGGTTTGGGGGGTTTTCAGAGATTTCACTAGCAGGCACCCTAATGGAGCCATCAGAATTGACAGTCTCACTGTCGGCGGATAAAAGGAACCATCCTCCCTATATCTCCTTGTTGTTTGCTTTGTTCTGGCCATCGTGTCCTGCAGAGGCACAGACACTGTCGGATTTGGAGATGTAATTAAAGCAAAGTTCTCCAACGAGCATTCGACACTCCTAGTTCTAGATTCAGTCGTCCCCGGTGACCGGCTGATCGCTAACCTAGGTCGTACCGGGTGCGTTTGGGAAACCATTTTGATAAAAAAAAGTTAAAGAAGAGAACAGGCGGTTACCTTTAAGCGCCCCTTGCTGGATCCAGTCTTAGTGTTGTAACTCTCCCAAGGGACAAAAAACCCAGAAACAATAACCACCATAAATATTCCATTAAGATTCAAGGTAAAAAAGAATTGAAATTTTTCGTTAAAACGAAAAATCTCTCAAAAAAGGCATTTCTGGTCAGATTTTGGCTAAATACACAGTCCTAAACGGGTAAAATCATTTCCATAACATGATTTCCACCCAAAATTCACTATTTTTGGGCGAAAATCTTGGTTCTAGGCTGAAGACAACTCTAATACGCTGTTGGGTTTCGATGAGTCCAACTCACCGTGGAAAAAAAAAACCGAGCCAAGACCACACTCACGATTAATATAATCACAAAGCATAATTAACTTAAACAACAAGAATTAAGGAAATATTAATACCTTTGACGCGTGCTTCGCTCTCAACGAGAGCTCTTACTTCGAAAGCTCTAAGTCTCGCTCGCACGAAGACCTCCAACGGAAGTCCATCCGCAACTCGACCCCGGCAATGGTCCAATGCTTAGAGGTTAGCTAAGCTCGGCCTAAACCCGAGTAATTATATGTGTTTAAAGGTTTTCTTAATTGAGATGCCTTTTTAAAACCTTACTCAATTGAACAATCCCAAGGTATGCCTTGGCTATTTATAAGAAGTGCTTCCTTGTGAATTCCACTCATCTTTCAATGTGGGACTTTTTCACAAAAAGATCCCACATGGAAAGAATGTTGAACTCAATCCTTAGTTATAACAAAGTAACAAGTGTCACATGGTTTGGTGAGGACCACTTCCTCACTTGCTCACTAAGGCAACTCACATGCATTGTGATCTAACCATGTGGCACCCAACCTTGAGCCCCAAGTTGGGTTCGGTTAGGCAGTCACCTTTTGGTCCGCGTCCATGATCCGCCACCTGGGTCCGCTGCCACGTGGCGCGTTGCCACTTGTTGGCTACCACCTTGGCGCGCTGCCATGTGGCATGCCTCCACCATGTTGGCTTCCACGTGGCACGTTGCCACTTGGTAGCTGCCATGGCGTAATTCTATTTGGCGCGCTTCCCTAGATTTTGCGAGGCTAGGGTTTTTACTTGTTACTTGAAGCATTTTCCCGTCTCGCCAATTCCTAAATTTTGGCTTGACTTTTAAGACTTGGTTCCGACGCACTAGGCTCGAAATCCGACGTCTTTGTCCACAATACTCAAGCGACTCATTAATTCCTTCCGAATTAATTCGTCGTGTCGGTTCATTAGTTGCTTGGGTGTAACCCTAAGGGTTCAATCAAGATTAAGATGTGATATCAATAGGTCATTAATATTACTGATCAGAAGCGGCCTCCACCTAGGCATTCCGATCTCTTGACCTCACTGAATAATTAGCTTTCTAATAATTCCGAGCCCTCTATCGGAATAATACACTTGTTAGAAGGACACCATTCCTATCACAAAGCACACCTTCATTCAGTTTTCTGGTCACCATTCTCACTAGAGCGGGTGAATTAAATTTTAATTTTTTATTTGTCTGCCGAAAAATGTCCCGTAAAGGATCCAGGGGTCATTTTTTTGCTTAAAGGCCCTAATTTTAGCTCGAAACCAGCAAAAAAAATAGCGTACATGATTCGTTTAGCATTTTATAAAATATCTCGATTTGCGTGTCATTTGTTTTTAAGCTGAATTGAGACATTTACGCTATTTTTTTGCTTTTTTGAGCTCAATTTGGACTCATAATGAACAAAATGACCCCCGAAACTTTTACGGGACATTTTTCACCACGCAAATCGAAAAAATTCACCGCCTCCAGCGAGAATGGTAGTCGGAAAACTCACTAAAGGTGCGCTTTGCACCCAAGTCATTAGTTTGTAGTGTTTTGACTACTAAGTAAAGTACAAGGTGTTGGGTGTACCCAAGCACAGTTCAGAGTGTTGAGACCAATTTTGTAAGTCATATCATAAACAATTGTTACTTTAAATCATCATAATGCACATCACCATATAATACTTTCCACCTTTAAGTATAAATGAAAATAAATACCATAATATAACAGATCATATCTCCCAAGAATATATATATATATATATATATATATATATATATATATATATATATATATATATATATATATATATATATATTCCAACATTTATATAATTTCTTTTACTCGTCATTATCACATATAAAATATATTCACACTTAACGTACGAGATTTTAAAAACCTGTAAAGACTTGGCAGTATAAATCATCAAAATATCTTCATTACAACATTCTTTTAAATTAGCCCAAATTAAATCTTTATTGATCTCATGATAATCATCAATAATCAAATAATCACATTCAACCACATTAGCCACATCCCCATACTTTTGAAAGAGACGCTCATACTTTTTGATTTGAGGCAAGTGGACTAGGCCTAGGAGCCTTGGAGAACTAGCCAAGCATGTTATATTAAAACTTCATTATTATCCATTTTTCATTAGCATCACACTTCATATAATAAATCATCAAAAAAATTATCTCTTGTTCCAAATTTTGCTTAGACATGTACAAACAAAGACATGTATAAACAACTCATTCAATACACATATAAACATGTGAATGTTATTTTATATAAGCAATTTAAATAAATTCATAAATTCCATTCTCACAAAGCAACGATTATAATTCAAATTACCAAACCATGGGCATCAAAATATTTGGACTTCCTTTATATTCAAGGTATAATTAATTAGGAAATTTTGACTTTTACCACCATGAAAAAACCACTTATTGACTTTTACCACCTTTATAAATTTATTTAATTTTTTTTTTGAAGAATATAAAAATAAAAAAAAAAAGTTTTATTTTACCACCAATAAAATTTCTAAAAATTGGGTTTCACTACCAACTAACGGATTCCATCCATGGATCCATTAGTAGGGCCCAACTTTTTGACATTTTCTCTTCATCTCCTCTGATCTTCCATGCCAACCAGCCGAGAACGAAATCAACCCCACCTCAGTTGGTTGGAATTTTGTGTAAGGCTAAGGAGGGGTCGGAATTTGGTGTGGGCTAGGGAGGGGTCGGAATTAGGTGGTGGCTAGGGAGGAGGTTGAAATTTGCTGGTGGCTAGAGTTTTAGTTTTGGTCGTAACTCGATAAGAGGAGGCTTTATGGGTGGTTGAAATTCGGTGGCTAGGGTTTTAAGGTTGGAAATCGGTGGGAGATGGGTCGGAATTCGGTGGTTAGGGTTTTGAGGCCGGAAATTGGGTAAAATATAATATCCCGTATTTTTGATACATATTTCTAATTAATTAATTAACTAGTATTCTCTTAAAAAGGGTATTTTAGTAATTTATTTTACTCTTTCGATTTTGGAGCCAAAATGATAATTGAATTTTGGAGCCAAAAGTATTTTAAAACCCAATTATTATTTTGGATTTTGGATAAGATTTATTATCCATTTATTTTATTTAAAAACCGGATTATTTATACATATTTCGGATATTTTAACTAAGGAAAAATTATATTTTAATTATTTAATTAGGAGGTCAGAATTTCCTAAATAATAAGCTATGATTTTCGGATTTTCTAAGTGTAGAAAACCTGATTTCTTATTGAATTTATTTAGTGAATAATTGGTATTTTCTTAATTAATTATTTTGTACAATATATTTTATTTACACAATTATTTTTAATTCCTTAAAACTAGCAAATTAATTCCCTAAATATCTAAAGGGATGTTCGAAAACATGAGCTTAGGAAAGCTCAAATTTTCGGCCACCATGATGGATTTTTGAGTGATTTATTTTGGTAAATTGTATTTTTAATCATCTCCTCAAAATCTCTTATTTTCCTTAATTTTATTTTTCCATCTCACAAAGATTTGATCATCTTATTTCCCTACCTTATTTCAGCCTTTATTATTCCCCAAGTAATCTCTTTTGCCGTATTATTTTCATGACAAACACACTTTCCTAAATTCTATTATTCTTAATCACCTTAATATCAAAAGTTTCCATATTTTTTTATTCACTTCTCCAAGTCATTCCTTAATTCTTTTTACCATAATTCTTCCTACATTCTCCACCATAATTCCCTCATTCACGAGCCTACAAATATCCCTCCATACCTCTCATATTCTTCACACCAAAACTCAATTCTCTTCTTCTCTCTTCTTCTTCTTTTCCCTAAACCTTTTCATACTTTTCTTACAAATCAGCCCGTATATCTTTGAAGCCAGTTTTTTAAAAACTTCTGGTCAGTTTTTGGAGGATTGATGTT